AGGTCTTCCTCTGTACAAATCGAGACGGGGCCAAAAAGAAACCTGACAGCGTCCGTACACGTCGGGCGACGTCTGGGCGGACACCGACGCGTAAAATCGAACACCGCATGACGCACACGCACATCGAATCGGCGCAACGGCATCCAGCGTGGAAACAAAACGGGAACTGGGGCGGCAAAGCGACAGCAATACGCCGATCTAGAAGTGTGACCAGCGGTAAGACGAGGGCACCTTTCCAAACGACAAACACACCGACGGCCGATCCAGGAAAGCGTCTGGCGTTGCATCGAGAGCGCAGTTCCGAACGGGCCGAAACGTCGCAGTTGCAAACAAATTTGCGCGTGCATACCATAGGGGGCGGGGGGGCATGCGCAAACACAAAACGCGTGACCGACGGGTGGAAAAGAGAACTGGCAGAAGAAGAGTAGTACTCATGATTCTATACATTGTGGAAGGGCATAAAAATATAGATATAGGCGCGCTCACACCGCACCTGATAGCATCCTGCCCCTGGCCACCCCTTCCCATTACGTGCTCTTCTACTGCTCCATGCCTGTAACTGGGGTGGAAGCTCCTCGGGAATGGTCACCTGCGCGCTGATTGCCAGGGGAAGAGCCGGAGGAGGACGAGGGGAGCAGTGGCGTCACAAGGAGAGAGAGAGGCAGGAGCGACCGCAGATCGCCCAGTGGGCACCTCGTGCCTCCACCTTCGACCCAAAACCCCGCTGGGACAAAGGCGGAGCGCGAAATCCCACGCGCACCTTGTGGGCAAGAGGGCTAGCGTTTTGCGATCCTTTGTGGATCACGGAGTCCCTCATGATCCCTGACGAGCGGGCAGACCTTGACCAAATGACGCGGGCCCGTCCCGGCCGCCAGCCCCACCGCCGCCCGCCGCCGACGAGCCCAACGCCGCGCAGGCCCGGCGCGAGGGCCGGTGCTTATCTCGCCGATGCTCTGCAGGCGCGCGCCATCCGTCGCCGCATCTCGCGCGCGCGGCGCTGGCCGCCGGGCGTCTGCAGGAAAAGCCCGAAACGCCGATCGAGGCAATCGACGCCCGCCGCAGCTGCGAAGCCGACGGGCTCGGCGCGGGGTTCGCCGCGGAGCACGAGGCGCTAATGGCGGCGTCTTCAGCAGCGGACTTCGCGAGCTGGCGCGGCGGTCGCGCAGGTCGGCAAGTCGATGGGCGCGGGAACTGCACAAACATCGATCGTTTCTTCTTTTGATCGCGAGCGTACGGGAGACGCTGGACGCCGTCAAGGGTCGCAGCAAGCGGGCTACGAGCGAATTGCGCACCAGGGGAAGGGAGGGAGGCAACGAGAGGACAGCGGAAGGAGGAAGTCGGTCGTTTCACGCGGCGGAAACGAATGCAGTGGGGCCACCGCGAGAGCGCCAGCGGCGTTGCAGTTACTGGCAGAGAAATGAGCGGCGCGGGCGCCCCCACAGCCGGCGAGAGGCGCGCCCATCTGTCTCGAGATCGATAGCTCGCCTCAGTCGTGGCGTTTGCGCTCGATCGCGCCGAGTTTGCGCGGCGGGCGAACTCACCGTGACCTCGCGCGTACCCGCGACGGGGCACGAGGCCCAGGCAGAAAGCGACGACGACGACGACGACGACGACGACGACGACGACGACGACGACGACGACGACGACGACGACGACGACGGCGACGACGACGACGACGACGACGCCGGCGACGACGACGACGACGCCGGCGGACGACGACGACAGCGACGACGGCGACGACGACAGCGACACGACAGGACGATCGACGGGACACCCGCAGCGGCCAAGGCCTGGCCAGAGGCCGAGGGATCGGAGGGGGCAGGCTCGAGCTTTCGCCGGCCGCCCAGGCGCCGCGCGGGCGCCCGCCACCAGTAGCGCAGGCCTGTCGGGGGGGGGGGGGGCACACAGCGCCTGTGGCGAGCCCTCGACGCGCCCCAACGGCAGGGGAGGAGGTCCCCAAGGCGCTCCCACGCCGTGTCGTTCCCCCTCCCCACCTGACCTCCCTCCCCCACCTGACCTCCCTCCTCTTCCCTCCCTCCCTCCCTCCCTCCCTCCCTCTTCCCTCCCTCCCCTCCCTCCTCTTCCCGCGCACGTGGCCATTGCGGCTCGAGCCGTTCTGGCTCCGGCAGTTGTGGCTCAGCTTGCAAGCGCGCACTTCAGAGCGGCTCGCGCTTGCGGGCCAATCTTCTCCTTTTCGAACTGTGCGCGGGCCACCCGCTGTTGATGGGATGGCGAAGCCGCGTGCGCAGCGAGACGTCCTCGCTGGCCCGCACACCCCCTTGTGGGGATGCCGCTGCGGGACGGCGGACAACTGGGCGTCGAGGATCGCCTGCCGCGGATGTGACGCGCCAGCGCCGGCGAGGATCGCGCAGGCAGCCAGGAAAGCGGCAGCGGCAGCAGGCGCATGGAGTGGGCAACCCCGCAGGGGGCCAAGCGCGAGCGGCGCTGGCTCGCGTGAGGCGCTCACCAAGACAATCGAGGATCTCCAGGCGCAGGTGGCACAGCTAAATACAGGTGGTGGTGCAGACGCGGCGGCGAGCTGTCTCTCCTTGTCCACTCCCTCTAAGTCGTGTGCGCTTCGCACTCGCTATGTGCCAGACATTGTATAGTCATGTTTTCGCGTGTAGCCGTTTTGGCTTTAGCCAGCATGTTACACAGGCGCTCTCGAGTGAGGGAGACTAAACATATGATACCGGAGAGAAAACCCAATCAGGGCTATAGGGTTAGGGGGCTATAGGGCTATAGGGCTATTGAGCTATAGGGCTATTGAGCAATAGGGCTATAGAGTTGTAGGGCTATAGGGCTATAGGGCTATTGGGCGATTGGGCTATAGGGCTATAGGGCTTAGGGCTATAGGGCTGTACGGCACCCCCGGGCACCCCCGGGCACCCCCGGGCACGCCCGGGCACCCCCGGGCACCCCCGGGCACCCCCCGGGCACCCGGACCCCGGGCACCCCCGGGCACCTGGGCACCCAGGCGTGCAGCGAAAGTCGGAGACAAACCTAACCTAACCATATGAATCCGCTAGGACCCCTACAGAGGCAAGCTCTGATTGGGGAATGAATCCGCTAGGACCCCTACAGAGGCAAGCTCTGATTGGGGAATCATCGTGTCGGTCGCACGATGCCTTGCGATGCTTGACAGTGGTAAGCGGAGCGTGGTCAGTGAAGATCCTCGTGAAGGTACGGTGTTAGATCTCTCCCGCCCCGGGGCACCGACCAGGACAGCTGGCAACGACAACGACGCTGGAGTCTGGACGACCTGGGGAAGATCAGATTCAAGGGTATCAGATCCGTGGTTCCACGGGTCTGACCCTCGGCACTCAGGTCATGGAACGCCCGCGACTGCCGGCGAAGGCGAAGCAGAGCAGCATCTCGAGGGCAGGCTGGGGAAGCTCCGGCGAGCGGAGAAGAGCTGCCTGCTCGACGGAACCGGAGCTAGAGACGGGCAAGCCTGAGGACGACGAGAGGTGGAGCTCCAGAGGCTGGGGCTGGAACGGCGACGCGCACGGCAGTTGCATTCGCCCGCGGCTTTGGTTTCGCCTTTGGGGTCGCCCCCGCTGAAGCGATTGCAATCATCGACGCAGTCGCTTTCGGCGCGAGCTTCGGAAGGCGGGAGGGGGAGCGCGAGGGGGTGGGTCTGGCACCCCCTCGCTACGATGCGCGAGCATGGCTGCGGCAGCACCTCCATGGCAGAGCCTCTGGAATGCCTTGGGGGAACCTTCTTGGAGCCTGCCAAGCCAGTGTGGGAGTGGTCTCCGAACTGGTGGCAAAGCTCGAAGAAGGAAGACGACGACGACCCCTGGAAGTCTGGAGACTGGAAGAAAGTCGGCGACGGGAAGGACACCGTGTCCGACAGTAGCAGGCCCAAGAATGAGCGAGGAGGCGACGACTCGTGGTGGTCGCCTTCCTGGTGGACGAGCACCTGGTCTCAATCGTGGGAAGAGAGGTCAAGGGACTACTCGGCTCCTCCCGCATGGCCGGGTATGCAGCACCTGGACATATACGTTCACAATTTGCGCGCCGGGACGGGCAGGACAGCATTCAGGACTGATCTACGAGCTGATCGAGTGCTCGAGACCCTCCCTCTCGCCCTGCAGGCCAAGTTCAAGACAATCAGGCTATCACTCGCGACGGAGTCGGGCGTCGACCGGATAGTGGAACACTTGACTCTTCTCTCGGGAGAGCGTCCAGGAGACAAGGATCGGCAGATGCAAAACGAAGCTTTGTTCGATTACGGTCTAAAAAATGGGGAAATCATCACGGACTACGTCATCCGACGCGACGGACAGATGTTGCAAGCAGAGACCGCAGGGCTCACCCTCACGGACTCCATCAAGGCCCGATACTACGAGGAGGGCGCGATGCTTTCTCATCAGAACAGAATCAATTTGGCCACGTTGGCCGCCGGCAAGAAGGACTTCGCGTCCATACGCTCGGCTCTTCTCAACATGGACGTATTGACTGGACAGATGGTTCTGCCTACCGCAGCTTCCTCTTCCAGGCCGCAGGAGCGCAAGACGTTCATGCAGGGCCGCGACATCGAGGCGGACTCCGACTCGAGCCCAGAGGCGTACGCAGATATCTACGAGACAGAGTTCAGCGAGTCGGAAGCCGAGGATTTCCTGGTGGCTCTCGAGCAGCAGGATCTTTCAGACGAAGCACATCACATGTTTGCCCAGCTCGTCGAGACGAAGAAGAAACGCACGTGGAAGGAGTCAAAAGAAATGAAGAATGCTCGCCGGGTAGGCCGTAACTTCTTCGATAGTCGCCGTAAGAAGATCAACAAGGGCGAGCTCAAAAGAAGGTCACGGTGTACGAACTGCGGCCAGCAAGGTCACTGGAAGGAAGACTGCCGCAACCCGTACAGGTCGAAGGAGGATCGCATCAAGGAGGAACGGAAGTCAGCTCAGAAGCCAGACAGAAACGACAGCTTCTACTTTAACGTGCGCGACTTCGACGGCTTCTCGTTCCTTGACGCCTCGTAGAACGAATGCCAG